AGGGCCCCCGCTGTAACCTCGGAGGCGGGCTGCAACTGAGAGGACAGAGTCCTCCCAGGCCACCTCCAGAACGTCTGTCGACCCGCTCACGGCCGCGGGGCTTCTGCAGACCGTCAGACACCAAGACCTGCGAGAGAGCCTCCGCCAGGTCCAACCCTCGACTGGAGCGACCAGGGCGGTCTGCTCCTGTAGGCTGTAACCCGCCTTGTCGAGCTGGGCGCCAGCAGCCGCCAAAACGCCGTCCCGGCTGAGGTCGACCTTCGAAATGATTTCCTTGATCGTAACGGTCTCAATGGCGGGCCGGCTACCCTTGGAGGAGGTCAAAGAACCGTCCTCCTTCAAGGGCCAGGGACCATTTGATCCTAATTTCAGAGACTTCCGGCAGGTAGCGATGCACGCCCCGTAACGCGGCCCAGTCGGCAAGACCCTGCGCCGCCGCGCGCGCCTCGGTAGTCGCGAGGCACAGAGGCCCCCGCGTCCGGGGCACGAGAATACAATCCTCGGCAAGGGCTTCCATCTTGGCACCCGAAAAGATACCATTGTCCATAACAAGCTCGAGAGAGAGCCGGTGTCCCCGCGCACCTACCACGCGCCAGGGACCGATCAGACCCGGTTTTCCAAGGAACCCGACCCGCCCCCTCTGAGCGGGCCTTTGGTGTGTTCCAGACGACACGGTCACCAGGTTTAAGGTTTACCGTGCGTCGATGCCTGTTGGCTAGCTTAGCCCTCGCAGCGGAGCTGCGGTCCCAATGGGCCTTGACCGCGGCAGTTCTGAGAACTGCTTAAACTGCCCGCGGGCCCAATGGGACACAGGCTCAAACTCCAGAGCCGATCTCAGGACGTCCGTCGGGTTTGATACAAAACTAGTTTATACAACCAACTGCCAATTTAGCATCGAGTCTGTTGTAAAACATATCAGTTACGTCTCTTTTCATGAGTTTCTTTTAATAAGAAACTGTATGGTTCTTCCGTTACTAGATTACACACTTCCACCATTAGTTTCTTTGCTTCTGCTTAGTTTTTAGTGTCTGCCACGGTCGACTTTTTGATTAGCACGGCGCTTACTTTCTCCACCATCGTTTCAATCTCTTTGTAGTTCCTTCACCTGAAAATAACAACTGAAGATTACTAATGCGAATGATGGGACTCAAGGCTCAAGGCACTGAACTTTTGCGTTGCCTTGCTAATATTATCTATTGCATTGTGTCTGCGTCTCACGTATACCTGATTTACTAAAGGTGAATTTCTTGAAAAGCCTTCGTGTAATCATGCGAAATCATCTACTTTTATCAGTATTCAAAACAACTTCTTATGGTCGCTCCTCTTCAGGAATTCTATTACCTCGTGTTGTTGCTTTATCACCCTTTGTAGTTCTTCTGGTATATAAGGTATATATTCATCAAAGAAGCATTTTTCTTTTTCTAAACGCACCTTCAGATCGTCCTGTATGTATCTCTTAATTGGCGTCCAATTACTATCAACTGAAATTGAAGGTGGGCAAACATGAACTCGCTCAACGACGTTTCTATAGATGTCTAGTATCATTGGCTGAAGTAATATTCCTTTTCCACTTCCTTATGGGCTTGTTATTATTTGAGAAAGGGTAATCTTCGCGCCACATCGTTTTTAGATTGTTTGAAGTCACATTCTTGTACATTGACTGGGTTGACTTGGGCTTAATCATTATCAGTAATTCATAGATGTATATTATCTTTCAACGTGCTTGGAAGAAAGCAACATCACATATACTGAATGTGTCGAAGTAATCAACGACATAAGAGGCCGTTGAGCAAATAATCACCCGTCCTAAATACCGTAGATGTTGCCATAGTCTTGTAGAGTTAGCGACAAAAGAAGAGGTCTTTTCATCAATGCTAAAGGCGTTTCTTGTTTTCCTTGTAAATTTAAGCGTCAGTCATATCATAAGGAAGCGAAGACAGCAACGTAGTAACGACTAACGTAATTGAAGGTAGACATAATTTAGAATTTGGAGGTCGGCAGGTGTCACCTGATGAGAACGGTATAGTCAAAACCGACCGGCAGATGGGAAGCGTTGAAATTTGCTCAAACGGATGGGGCACCAAATCAAAATAACACCAGACGAATGCGAACAAAGAATGGAAGAGAACACTACAGAAATTGAAGTTATCAACAAAGACATAGAACGGACAGAATTGAAATTGATAATTCAAAACAACGCATTTGAAAAGAGTTGAACCAAGATATACAAATCATTATATGGATTGTTTCTGTTTCAAGAAAGAAAAGAAAGAAAACGCAAGTGCTTTGTTAATTGAAAGAAGAAAGATAAGAACGTATAAGGCTAGGTTAGGTGCTATACTAGATGAGCTAGAGGAGTATCAACATTTATGTCAGCATAAGAAACGATTTAAAATGTTGTTTGAGTGTTATCAATTGCAAGAATTTTTACAATACTTACTTAAAGTATTGTTGATATGTATATGTGACAGTGTGCATTAAGCCCATTCGGAGGTGTCCCCGCCCGCCCATTGCTTCTTTTGTTTGCCCATTGCTCCTAAACGTTCTAATATTAATTAGGATGTTCGAAGATTTGCTCAGCCTAACTATGTCTACAGACTAGACATTTTAAATATGTTAAGATGGAGAAGACAATGTGTAAATCGTGCTGTGCGTCAATGGATGTTGAAGAGTTTGACGGGTTTAAGACATGTAATATTTCCGAGAAACGAAAATGCTACGGCAAGAACCAGAATGAATATAGCCAAGCGAGAAGAGAAGAGAGAGCAAAGGAGAGCCAATTATGCGAAGAATGCGTACACAAAATAAAACATGAAAGCTGGGATGCCCATTTCCATTATGCGTTTCATCCGAACTCGGAACTAAATATATTGTTGAAAGGATATTTAACAAAGTTCGGTAATTTAAGGAAAGCAGGCAAACTAAGCGACAAATTGCAAGCAGAAATTAGGGCAGAATACGACAAGCAGAAAAGGGAAATACGCAAACGATTAACCGATCAAACCAGAACCGCAGCCTGAGCCTGAGAAACCTCAACCCGATATTGATAAAGTGTTTAATCATGTCCATCAATGGCTGTTGAACGTTGATTTTTTAGAAGATTTTTCTATGCTTTTTGGTGAGCAGAAGGACAGAATAATTATTGAAATTCCCGTTGATAAGGCATACGAAGAGAACTTTTCAAGAAAAAACACTCAAATAATACTGCAAGTATATATTAAGCGGAAAATGGATGATACAAATTGAAAACTTATGCAAGTGAAGTATATCCAAAAGACACATGAAATCAAGATGAATGAAACAGATTACCTAAGAAATTGATGAGTTAAGAAAGTTACTTAAAGTGTATGAAATGTGTTTGATACTCACGATGCTTGAATGTTAGTTGTGGTACATCTCTTTTGGAAGGTTAAATTCAGGAAGATAAAAAGTTAATGAAGCAATAATCAGATTTCATTGAACATATTGAAATACTTTGTATCAACGGAGGAAACAAAGACACTAAATACTTAGATGGAACACCAAAGAATGGTGTTTAAGTGGTTGAATAAAGGTATCAAGGACATTGAAGAAGACTACGCCGAACTAGTCAAGCCCAAATACTAAACCAATAAGAATACTGTTTTGCTGAAATAGTATTGCTCCTGTTTCTTATTCCTGCCTTATTCTTAAACCTTATTCCTACTATTGAATTCTTATTACAGACTACCATTTCCACTTTCAAGGGTTAGGGATTTCCGGGATTTCGGGTTGGGGAATATGGTTTGTCTATGGGGGCATTGGTCTATGGGTTGAGGTTGGGTTTTTTCTATGGGGTCTTGGTGTGGGTCTTCAGGTGGTTCCATCCTGGGGGTCTTTCGGTGAGTTTAGGGTTGAGGTATAGGTTGTTGTGGTTTGGGTGCTAGGGGGTGGTGCATGGTTAGAAAATGGACATGGCTGATTTACCGCTGTACCCGCCGAGTCGCAAGTCGAGAGTCGACATGGAGCCATGGCCATTCATGGCCCAGATGGCCCAGGCCCAGGCAAGCAGGGCCCTGGCCGAGCTGCCGCAGCCAAGTGTCTATCGAAGAAAGATTTGGCCCAATGCCACCTTGCCCTTCCCTTGTTCTTTGTGCGTTTTCGGGGCCGCCCGACACTATATCTTCAACTGTGATGTGAAGTGTCACCCAAGAACGTGAAAACCTTGAGTCCGGCTACGTCGGAGGCCACTTACAAGAGCAAGTATAGGATTAAGGACAGCAGTTTCACGACGTCAGGCGCGGCAAGGTGACAGAAGGTAGATTCCTAGAGCGGAACACCAGCAGGCCTGATTCCGCGGATCAGCCCTGAAGTGCGAGTGAACGATTAAGAACCCAACGCGAAAGAGCGGCGAGGAATGAACGTGAGCAGTGAGCAGGACGTTCAAAACACAGAGGGGAAAGCAAACATGACAGTGCTTGACAGTTGGAAAACGCCGCAGACCAAGGCTGCGTCGGGCGGGGGGGAGGGGTGACAAGGGGGAAGGGTCAGGGTGAGGCGGTGAGGACAGTCATGTCTCGGTGTCTCGGCTCGGTTTCGCAACCGCTCCTCGGCTCTGCGGACTGCCCTCTCGGTATTTTGGCAAGTTTCGAGCTGTCAGCACCACTGAGGTGCTCCTTCCACTGCTATTCTCTCCGCGGGTGCCTGCATGGAGAGGCCCAAGCTGGGGGGTCTCTGCACCACAGCCGGCGTCCCCGGCCCGCCGCGTGCCGCGTGCGGCAGGCCTGTGAGTTCTGTCACTTGGAGCATCTTCGTCGCCCCAAGCCGAAGAAGCGAGGCAGGGGCGGGGGCGTCCTGTGCCCAGGACCCAAGAAAGCTTGATTCTGTCATCTCTCTGGCGGCTCTGGCTCTCCATCTCTGTGCAGTGCGCTTTAGGAAAGCGAGTTCTAGCAAAGGATCCATCATTTCTTTATGTGAACATTGGGGCTTGGCACACCGCCTGCGCACGATGTACGATGACCGCATTCTCTGATTCTGAGCCGATGGACCGACGAAGCCTTCTCAAGGCCGTGCGGCGGGTTCCGGCGTTCCGTCCTCTTTCGGCCACCGTCTCGCCTCAGGCGCTCCACTTGAGCCAGCAAGCGCAGATCGAGCAGCTGGAGTGCGGGACCTGAGGGGAATGCTTTTTCAGGGAGTTCTCCAACGTCCGAGGCGTTGGAATAGTTTCCTGGAGGACTTGCGGCATGCGGCAACCCCAGAAGAAAAGCTTTGCAGTATTTGCAGTATGTGCCCGATGCCCATGCTGGATCTTCCGAGGTCTTGCTGTCTGAAAGCCAGGCGACTCGCAAGAACGGGGCCAGGGCTTGTCCAACGCCAAGTGCCCCACAGGGAACGGACTGTCCCTGGCCCCGAAACGCAGGCAAAGAGAATGCCAAGGACCGCTGAAACTGTTTTTCTTTCTTGGGAAAGGGTTGGGCGGAAGGAGCCGAAGAAGCTGGGCCCGCAAGCAAGGCAGCCACGGACTCCCCGCAAAGGCCAGGAGCGGGGCGACGAGGAGGCCCTCCGGAGCGAGGAGGCGGCGCGTGAGGCACCGCGGTGGGCCCGCGAGCCCTTGCAGCCCAGCTGCGCGAGGCGCGCGCGCGCGGAGCCTCTCCCGTGTCCGTTACGTAGAAGTAGGGGGCGCGAGGCGCGCGCGCGCGCGAGGCGCGGCGCTGCTTTCTCCGCTGCTGCTTGCGAGGCAGCGGCAGCGGAGTCCGCGGAGTGGTTGGTCGAGGTCCAAGGCCGAAAGCTCAGAGAAAACGCAAAAAGCAGAGAGCAGAGAGCTCTCGGCTCCGTTGCTTTGTGGGGGGGCCGCTTTGGCGGGGGGGGGGGGGGGGGGGGGGGTGCTTTCTTTGGGGTGCTTTCTTTGGCTTTGGATCGCTTTTGCTCTGTGGGCTCTTTGTGCAGTTCTCACCTCAGTGACTCAGCTTAGCTGCTCGCTTCCAGAGGTGGAGCGCTTCTCCGGCTTTGGATCGCTCTACCACAGGTGAGGAAGGCTGAAACGGCCCCCGCGGCCCCACCGGTGCCACCGATCCGAAGCCAATGTCGTTTCGGCAAACTCTCTCCGAGTCGCGTCAACGCCGTGAGCGACAAAGCTAACGGCTTTTTCTGCGAACTTGGGCCCTTGGCGAGACATGCCGCTGGGAGATGCGAGCAAAAGTTGCCGCAAAAAAACAGCAGGTCCTCCGACTGCCTGACTGCCTGACTGCCTGACCGGTATTCTGCTGGTGAGCTGCTTCAGGCAGGAAGAAGCCTTCCGAGGAGGCGAAAGGGGCAGAGGCCCAGGCCGCCGCACCAGCCTTCGACTGAGAGCCGTCTCTTGGTGGGAAGGCGAAACTGCCCACGCCATGCTACCCCCCCCCCCCCCCCCCCTGCGTGTCACTTGTCGTTTCAGGGCGAGTGCCCATGTGTTCCCAACTCCGAGAGGTCCTTTGGCTCTCGTCCCGGTTTCCCAGTGCGAGATCGGGAGTTCCTGCACTTCCAGTTTGCGGAGTCTGCCGGAAGGGCGTGTGAAGAGTGCCAGTCTGCCAGTCTCATAGATCTGCATAGAAATTCTCCGCAGCTCCGCACAAGTTCCGCCCCTGCGAGGGGCATATTATGTGGACAGATGATTTCAGGAAAAGACAGAGCTGCAAGGGGGGGAGAGGATATGCTAGTTTTCCAAGCTGAAGCTCTTAAACTGCGGCCGCGGGTCAAGAGGCTAGATCTAGAGCTTTACATTCTTTCTCGTGTCCTCCATGCCGGTGGTTCAGCCCTCGACTTTTTTTGAAGCCGGAGACGTCGCCCGCGTCGCGTCTGCGTTGAGCTGCGTGGAGAGGTGGAAGATGGCGCCTCTCGGACTCAAAGCCCCATTCTCGGAGCGGTGCCCTTGCGCCGAGTGCACCCGGCCTACAGCCGCACCTCCGCTTCGAAGGTGTCCAGGACCAGGTCCAGGGGGCCATGGCCGTGATGCAGGCGACGTGGCTTCGCGGAATTGCCGCTCTGCTGCGTGCATCGGCTTTCTGAAGACTCATCAACTCTAGGACAACATGCGGGCCATGGCCGAGAGGGACTCGCAGCTGAATCAGCTGGAGGTCCGCGCTGAGCTGTGCGGGAAGCCTCAAAAGGGATTTTTTTGCCCCTTGCTCCAAAGGCAAGGACCAATGACTTGCAAGGGGCTTCGAAAGCCTTCAGCTCTGGAGCGAAGCCGCTGGACTCAGAGACGCGGGCATCTGCGGACGCTTCGCATGCTTCGCGCATGCTTCGCACGTCGGCTCGTCGGCTCTGAAAGGCGCCTTCAGAGGCACTACCAGTGGCAAAGGCGAGGATCAGCACAGCCAGCGGGGTCTGCGCAGTTGCGACGCATGCGAGGTACAAGTTCTATTTTGCGATCGGCGCCGTCGTGGTGCTGGCCGCTGACTTGGGACACTTGCTGCCGTTCCGCTCTGGTGTTTTTTGTCGCGAGCTTTTGTGGCGGTTCCAGCCTGGTAGGTGGTGGCGCTGATCTTGTTGCCCTCCCAGTACAAAGTGCCCAGAACCCAAATGTCTGTCTCTGTCTCTGTGTGTGTGCACACGCGCACACGCGTGCGTGCACCAGTCTCAAGGCCCTTCTTCGCGGTGTCTGCAGTGCTTCTGGGTGGCTTGGCCCTGATCAACGCGGCGGCCCAAACAGCGGTCCAAGGAAGTTCAGTTTGCGACCTCCACAGCCTCGAGGTGGCCTTGGGCTCGCTTACGCGAGAGCCGGAGCCCCGAAGCGAGGAGGCGCAGGTCGAGCCGAAGACTAAGAGACTAAGACCCAGTGGGAAGCGGCGACTAGCCACTAGAGTCGATGCCGGCCCAAGGCTTGGAGAGTCGCTGACCCGTGATGGTATGGAGTGAGCCCCGCGCGCCGCGGCCTTGAACCGCACCAGACTGTCTCACCAACGGTAAGGACCGCCTTTCAGGATCCAAAAGAAGCTTCCCTGGTCAGCCAGAAGCGTGAGGACAGTGAAAGGACATGCCTCATCCCGAATCATCAGAGGTCAAGGCAGACACGTTACCACCGCCAGGGTGGCTTATGGCACCTCCGTCTGACACCAAAGCGGCCCTAGCAGCTATAGCATGCCATAGTGGATGCAGAAGAGCAGCCAACAAACACGTCATTGAAGCCCAGCTGTCGCCATGAAGTGAAGCCTTGCAGGCAGCCCGGCCATGTAACATTCAGTCGCATCCGGTGGTGACGGTGGTGGTGGTGCGCTGGTCTCTCACAGTCAGTGAATCATATGCAGCAAGCGGATGGTGTGCACACCAGTTCGGAAGGAACTTGAAGGCAATGGCACTCGTCGCGTTCCTGACCAGATCAATGCAGTGGTTTCGCATTATTCTGCCTCGCTCAAGGAAAGGGTGGTAAAGTAGACCACCATGTATGGGTAGTCCCACCGACATGATCGCAACAAGCAGTCGCAAAGACCAATTCACAGACAGAGACTGTTCATGAGATGAGATGGAATCGCAATCGGACTGTGTGGTGTTCTGTCTGCGAGGCAGCGATGCAGGCCTGGGCACCGCGAGCGCCGCCACAGCACTGGCCTTGGCCGCCTGGGCCGCCTGGGCCCACGGCCATCGGCTTCCAAGGCGGGGACACTTGGAAGAACGCGGAGCCGCGCAGCCGCGCAGCGCCTCGGCTGCAGGCCACACGCCGATGCCAAGCGCCATGCCCCAGTTGGGTGGAGGCGCAACCTCAGGGCCCGCAGTTCAACGGCACGATGTCCGCACGACTGTCAAGTTCACCGACGACCCTTAGACAATCATCGCGAGGTATCGCGCTGCCCCGAAGATAGCCCACGGCCCCAAGTCAGAGACCAACTTGAGCAGTGATACGCGCACGATCGCATTACGCCGGGGATAGCGTACCTTGGGGGCCGTTTTCCATGATCGACATAAGTTACACTTTCGTGAGTTTAACCCCCACCTTGAAGAGCATGACTTTTACGTGTGTGTTCCCCAAACAGCTTTAGCTGAGGGGTCCTTGATTTGCTTAATAGAAAAGGATTCTGTAACGCTCATTTGTATTTCTCACGGCACTACTCTAAAAACCGCTACTCATTTGTCTCCCACTGGTCTCCCATTTGTCTCACACATTCTGGGACCCTTGGTTCTATACACGTCATACTCATTTGTCTCTCCACTTGTCTCCCACATTCTGGATGCTCTAACGCCCGTCTGGGACTCAGCACTTCTTGAAACGCAGCAGCCGATATGTCCCCACGTCAAAACGCCGGTGCAATACTGTCCTCCCTCTACCTGCGCCGGAGCCTGCGGCGCCGCAGCCTACGGGGCTTCGTAAGCGTATCCACACGAGGCACTGCCACATCCAAGAAAGCCACCCTCCGGCGCCGCAGCCTCCGGCGCCGGACGCTCTGGAGGTGTCGGCTTGTTGTACGCGTTAATGAACTGGGGAATGTTTCGTCAAATCGGAACAATGTTCGTGTCTTTACCGGCGCCGGAACCCGCGGCACCGAAGAGGTCATTGCTTGGCAATTGTACCCACAGATGCTATACTCATGAACTGCATCAGCGAATATATCACCAGGCGCCGAGTTAAACCAGAATCAGCAAATATGTCCAAGAAAACCACCCTCCGGCGCCGCAGCCTTCGGCGCCGGAGGCTTTGGAGGTGTCGGTTTGTCATACACGTTGATGAACTGGGGAATGTTTCGTCAAGTCGGAACAATGTTCGTGTCTTCACCTTGTAAGCAATGGTCCACTCAGGTGCCGGAGCCTGTGGCGCCGGAGTTTGTGACACTGGTAGTTCTGAACTCGCCCCAGGACACATAATGACGATGTCACGTACCTCACCGACAGCTGATGTGATCGTCAGAGCTCTCTGCCGTTGCACCTGTGTTGCGCTGCATTGATAAGTGTGATATTTCCAGCAAAAATTCCGGCCGCTCGGTTTCCTGCTGCTCCAAAAAGATGGGGCCATGTACTAGAAGGGGAGAGCTGACGCAGCTGAACCACTGAAGGAGCTTTCGGGCTTTTACAATCGCAAAATGACCAAAAGAGTCGAGTAATTCCCACCCCCCTGCTTTCCACCTAAACTTCTAAGCGGAACCGAGCCAAAATCTGCACGACAATTGCGCGGTTGCTATCGGTACTTCTCAATTGCTGTTTGCGGTCGAGGCTGGTATGATTACATGTCGGTGCTGTTTTTGTTTATTCAAGCCTGAGGCTTCTAAGCAACAAAAAGCAAGCACACTAACCAGAAGCCTGTTTGGACAGGGGGTTGATTTTCATGGATTTAGTTCTTCAGTTGTTTTTGAGGGCCCCCCGTAGTTCAACCCGACTTACCCCTCGTGGACATCATCGTCATCACCTGTGCCAAGCTCTTCGCTGGACCAGGTGCCTTCCACCCTCCTTTCTGTTCTGCTCATGACATTACTGCAATCCTCATGTTTGTTTGATGAGCAGCGGATTCATCGGTTTGTCAACTGCCACACACATTGCACCAGACTCAGAACTCAGTTCTAGAGCCAGCATGCACAGCCTCTTTTACATTGAATCACAGCCACACTACAGACGACTTGCAAGACCACTGTCACTCGGACAGACAGGTTTTCACTCACACAGTATACATCAGTATATATATATATATATATATGTATATATATATATATAAATAAATAAAGATGGTATCTCTCTCACTCTTTCGGGCACAGAGTCGGTGCGACGCAGCCCATAGGATGCAAACTCAACAGACTAATTAGATGGGAGAAACAGTTCTGTGGTGCAGCCATGCCTTGTCCCAGACATGGATACCTGGCAAGCTGGAGAGATGGTAAGAGATGTGACGAGATGTCCCGTCGATCTCCAATGCAGCGACAAGTCCACGTTGCCACATGCAAAGCGCCAGCCGGACAAGATCACGTGCAAGCTGAAGCCCGGCCACGCGAGGATCGAAGGCTCCGGAGGAATGAAGCCAAGGCTGCTGCAGGGTGCAAGGTAGTCCAACCAGGGAAATACACAGCCCACACTCGCCCGGGATTTCCTCATTGAGTCGGGCGAGGGAGTCAGTGTGAAGGTAACAAACGCAGCCTGCAACCAGAACGCGCCTTGGTGAACCAGACCAGCGGTGGATCACGAATGCACAGAAGCACAGGATCAGTAGTCCAGTGCTGGGCGGTAGGGAGCATAACGTCGGCAACGGACAGAAGATCAAACACAGCCTGACTTGGCAGATCCAATCAGCGGTCGCGAGCAGGATCTGCCGGGCGGCATCAAAGAGAGCCGGGCACAGACCTTCCAGTAGGCCGCCATACCATTTCTCTGCAGGGACACGAAGCCGGCAGATGGTAAGGCAGACACAAGAAAAGGCGGTGCGAATGCGCCCCCAACGCACATCTCGAGGCAAGGTGGAGGGACACGCATCAAATCCGATCAGCGCAAGACACTCGAGCACTTCAGGAGAAGGACGCCGAAGCTCGTCCTCAACGAGAGGACTGGTGGTGGGGCTTTCCTGCTACCATGACCGGGCGGGGCCGTGCAGTGTCAGGAATGCTTGAGGTGACGCATAGCTGCACAGGTGTGTGGTAGTGCCGTGAGCAAGTCGGGCATTGCGACACTGGTCCTGGCATGCGTCTTGAACGCATGAACCGACCATGCCCGGAAGTCAGCAAAATGGAGGTGCAGTCAACCTCTTCTGGCAAGATGTCCACAGGGAGACGGGCCGGCCAGCGTGCTGCTGCTCGGCCGAGTGCCAGTGGCTTCTGCGCAAAGTATCGAATCCGGGCCCACCGTCCCGGGCATCGCTTAGCCTCCGTGGTCCACGAGCCCAGTGAGGCGGTCGACATGGTCGACTCCCGCAGCAGTAAGTTCCCATAGCCATTGTGCCAGAGCCCAAATATCTGGGATGGTTAGGCGAACAGGAGAGGACGTATCGCGCAATGTGGAGATAAGTCTCTCAAGCAAGTAGGCCGGCCAAAACAAGCGCACGGGTCGTGCCCAGATGCCAAGCCTGCTCGCAGGAAACACTGGGTGTCAGCATCTGGCATGCCATTTGGCGCAAGGCATTGGTCAAAGAGGAAGCCTGTTGCGAGGACACCTGCGCCATAAAGCAACACCGTCGCGACCAAGGAGTCGAAAAGCAGCTGTTTGTCGGCGATCGGCACCAGCGGTGAGCCGAATAGTTTCCGCTTGCGACGGTTAAGCGCGTCCCATGCCTGACCTCGCGGCGAAGCCCACCATCGTGCTGCATGATACCTCCAAGGTGTCGGTAGGTGGGTACAAGCTGCAGCCGGGCGTCTTTGCGTAGCCGGCAGTCGAGAGGCAGTTTGCCCCCTTGCCTTTGGCAGGGTTGGGCACAAGTGCTCGCTCAAGGCAAGAGTCAATTAAGACAGAGGCGCCCTGCCGGAGGATCGACGCCAAATCTAAATCGTCCATCCACATGGGGCCGGAAAGGCCAATGACAGAGGAAGGCTCCCCTCCAGATGGTGTGAGTCGGTTGATCATTGCAGGATTCCAAGGAAAATGGTCGCAAGATGTCCCGAACGGCTGAGAAGCTCAAAAGGGGCAGCCCATCAGGCTGCGCGACCTGAGTCCGCGCTGGTCGGTGCGTGCACAGAAACAAAAAAGGATGCGCAGTGAGGAACGCGCGAAACGAACGGCGAGGATTCGAGGATCCCAGTGAGCCGCAAAGAAATCTTGAGGACCAAGAACACACCGGCAGCGGGATGGTGCACAATTGACGCATCCTAGAGAACCACAGCTCAATCCCATGGGATCCCTGAGTATCCCTGGCACTGCAAGAACGGATGTGGGTCTTGGAGGAGATATAATTTCATTGGTCTCCACGTCTCCTACTCCAATTGGTTCCAGCTTGATGTTGCCGGCCATGAGTCGCT